GAACTTCGGCGAAGGACATGGCTTCGTCGATACCAGGGATCTGTGTACATAAACCACGTTAGAAAACAAGCTGCTGCAGATGTGCTGGCGCACCAGAGCCGAAGCTTACAGCAAATGCCAGATCCTGCATCATGCCACCGAGGCCACCACTCATGGCATCCACCTCCTCATTCTGGCCCGCAAGCAGGTCCTGCATGCTGCCGTTGGGGTCGATCTCCATGGCGCTCAGGTTGGTGAAGCCCTCAATGAGGCGGGCTTCCTTGCCGAACTTCTGGTTGAAGGCGTCGGACAGGTTGTGCGCCGGGTCGGTGGAGATGAGGAGGACCGACTTGCGCGCCTTGGCGAGCTGAATGGCAAGGGAGCACGACGTGGTTGTCTTTCCTACACCACCCTTTCCTCCGACAAAGATCCAGCGCAGCGACTTTTGGTCGAGGATGGACTGGAGGGTGGGCTCCATCACGTCGTCGGCGTCGATGATGGCGGCCATGGTCGCGGTTAAGAGTTGCGGTTGTTGGACGTAGTGTACTTGACTCGTTTTCTAGAAGCTGCCAAAGGTATGATTCGCGTTCGGCTTATAGGAATTCACGGTGAGCTGTAGATCGTTTTCGTGGGAGTTGCTGAGGATAGGTAGGTGTTTAGACGGGAGGCGTGCGTCTACGTCTTCCAAGCTGTTCTAGAAGTTCCAGTAGCAGAACGTTGCCTCCCCGCCATTTGGCGGGGCACCCCAGCACAAGGTACCGTGCGCAACTGCAGACTGTCGAGTTTCAGCACTGTTAAAGCTCCACCAGAGCTTGACAACTTTGCGGAGCTCCCGTGTCGAAGTGCGTTTCCTGCTCACGACACGACGTAGTAAACGGAGTCGCAATTTACGACACAACCAGCGCCATGTCTAAGAACGGATACTCTGTCTTGCAAGAGCTGTCCAGCAAGGCTTCTGCGCGAACGGTTCAAGTCACCGTTGTGCCGAGGCCAAATAGGTTCTCCGAGAGACGCGCCGTCCTGCACTCGCTGCAAAGATTCGCCAATGTCGAAGTGTTCAAGAAGCTGGAAGTAAGTTTGCGTCTCGCAAGAGTCAATGCCAAGGAAGGCTCTTTCGCTGACACCATTGGCTTCAGAACCACGACTCTTCCTTCATATCCGTTCTCAGCGACAAATCGAAAGTCAAGGAGCTCGTCAAGATAAGCCCGCTCAAGTACCAACTCGCGACGCCTCGATCCAACGGTTCCGTCAAGTCGTTCCTGACCGGCTCGGCCGTCACCGGACCCTTTGCCAACGCAAATCACCAGGAAGGGAGCGAGGACGGCGCTGCAGGAACGGACGATAAAAAGGAATTCACGGTGCACATCTTCCCGGCCCCGAGCTACATACACTCTGCGGCCATCAGAGCCAATCCTCTCCATGGCCCATGGCCGACTTCGCGCCGAGAAACAACCATGTCGTCTCAATTGAGGGCATCCTTACCAAAGGATGTCATGACCGATGGCTTATCGGATTGGGAGAATGGCGGACAGTCGAAATCGTCGACCAGGGGCCAGCTATGGGAAGATATTCTACTTGGCTCGAAATCGGTTGATGTCAAGAAGCGCGCCATCATCGATCGCATCAAGCGCAGAGAGCGAAAAGAAAAGGCACCCGCTATTATGGAAGGCCTGCTACATCTGAAAGAAAGCCAACCCTGATCGCCATTGGGCGCGACAGTACGCGACTACAGCAAAAGCTATGTCTAAGCTCTGGAGACGATGTCCCTCAAGGACCGATCAAACCCGCCTCTCGCATCTTGGCAGCGATTGCGCGTTGACTTTACATCCAATTTTACGGCCATAAGCCAAGCCTAAGAACATCTGACAGCTACAGCCTGATCGGAGTTCCAGCGTTTCGCGCTCAGTGAAGCGTTCCGGAAACGAAAATTCCGATGAAGGCGACGATTGGGCACGAGGCTCATTGGCGAGATGGGATGGCACCCAGTCAAAGTACGGCTCTTGATTGGATCAGACCATCGGACGGAACTGTTCGAGTTTCGCTTGCTTAACCTAAAATTATGCGGGCCAGGGCGATGCATTGAATGGGAGACCCTGAGTACAGGGTCGAAAGAACACCACAAGGACGACCGTTGACATTTCGGTATGTCCCGACATCAGATTGCAAGAATTGCAACAACAGTCGAACGATGACGAAGGTGTCTTTGGTGACCGTCGCTAGCAGTGCAACGCAGTCGGGCTCCCTGACGACGAGCTGCAGATGCTTTTCTTGCCATAGGAACACTTGAGTCGGCAATACGGCAGTAGTCAGCTGAACACAAGGTCGAGACTCTGACGTTGGAGTTGGACTTTTTGTGCCGGGGTCCATTCAAGGCGTGGCGTCATTACAGAGCCACAAAAACAAGGAATAGTGGCAACCTGCAATATCCCAGATCGGCCACGACGCGAGGACCTGACCAATCAGCGGTGCAAACTGGATAGTACGTCACAATAGAGCCAAACCCACGTTCCTTTTCCACCGCCAGCTTGTTCGACAATTAAACAAATCTGGACGCGACTAGACGAGCCGACCAACCGTGGCGCGGGGGATGCTTGCGCAAGCCAGGGTCCATTTTCACCCAATTTTCTCCTACAGAGCCACAGAGCCACAGAGCCACGAGAAATATGAACTTGGGCCCGGGCTGGGCCACGTTGATGACGTCGCACTCGTTGGCTTGCACCGGGACCCTGACTTACACGGCATTCTTGGCCCCGGACGGTGTGCCTAGTGTGGTACTGTCACAGATCACAGCACACATCATGCGAATTCCTGTTTCTTGGGGCCGGCCCAGGGGTCGTGAGACGTTTGTGCTTATATGCGGACGGCCTCTCCCTTTCCTCTCGCGAACATGTTCATCACATCAGTACTCCTATCGCCAATTGTCTCCTACAACTAAGCCCTACACCAAACACCCACACCACACCTCAGCCATCCGGCAGTAGTCCATCTTCATAATCAACATGGCTGTCACCGGCTTCATTCACCACTTTGGTACCTTTTTGCTTCTTGTAGCAACCATTCTTCTGGTCATCACCAGCATCTCTGCTCCAGTGGTGCACAACATCTCACTGTTGACCGTCAAGCTGGGCGACACTTCCGCCGGCAATGAGATCACATTTGGTACCTTTGGATACTGCGTCCGTGGCGGCTCTGACTAGTAAGTAATATCACACAGCATAGACCCAAACTCAATAACTAACTCGTCTCCCAGTGGCTCCGACCAGTGCAGCCGTTCCAGGATCGGTTACTCACCCACCGATATCATCGCCGAGGCCGATGCCACCCAGTACTCCAACCTGTCCTCCAACGTCGCCGAGGGCTTGACCCGGGTCATGGTTCTCCACCCCGTCGCCGCAGGCGTCTCCTTCATCGCCTTCATCCTCTCCGTCGGTGCTGGCATGTTTGGCTCCCTCTTCGCCGCCCTTGTCTCCGGCGTTGCCTTCATCATCACTATCGTCGCCCTCATCTGCGACTGGGTCATGTTCGCCGTCGTCCGCCGCAACGTCAACAGGGATGGCAACGGCAGCTCCGCCCACTACGATGTCGCTCTCTGGACCCTCCTGGCCGCCGCCATCTGCCTGCTCCTCGGCACCGTCATCGTCTTCTTCACCTGCTGCAGCGGCCGTCTTCACAAGCGCCGTCAGCAGCGTTCCAAGGTTGACAACTACTCCCCTCCTGCCACCCACACTACCTACCGCCGTCGCCGCTTCTGGCAGCGCAGCAGCCGCTACTAGACCATTCAAACCGGAGAGTTTAGTTGTGGATATCTAGTTGTCTCTTGTCTTTGAGACTACCCAATGTTTTCTTAGCATGACGCGTTTACGAAGATGGCGCCCATGAATCTAGCGCAGGCGTAAAATGGGAGGTAATCTGGGAGTTTTACCAGGTGATGGATTGGACGAATACGCTCAGATATGATACCACGCCTGCATCGGCAAGCCATGACCTTTTCTTGTATACTGTTTACTATACCTAATGAACTACTTAACCAACATCACCTTCTCCATTGTGCTTGTTTCTCGCCCGTTTTTTCAATCCAGGGGAAAGGTAACCAATAGCAATTATCTTCACGCCTGCAGGACAACTGAATGATGTTACCGTTCACCTACGGGGTCATTACCCAATGTTATGTCGCACTGGTGAGGATTAACCCCGCAAAATGCCATACATCTTACCGGTACTTCGCCGGCCGGAACTACTCGGCCCGCCGATTAGTAGGCGACAGACTACCGTCGGACTCTGACCATGGGTTCCTTTCAACCTCGCCTACCTTACCTAGAACGATGTACCTTACATTACTTGTTGGGTAGCAAGACAGCAGGGACCTTGCCTCAGCTGATAGTCGTGCCGTTGCCATTCCAATCCATACATCTATCGGTACCAATCGCCGTTCTTTTCTCGCGCCCTCTTTCCGAGCGGTTTTGCACCTGATGTTCTCTCTTCCCTCCCACGGCGTTTTTTCCCGCCTACTAAATTGGCTTGCCAAGAAGGCCCCGACTAGAGTAGAGGCGCCTTAAGCTGAGGTATCTAGGCCTGGGTTCGATCTCTCCTGTTGCTTTCTTTAGCCGTTAGACACAGCGGGATCTAGTCACGTGCCAATTTCATTCCTCGTTGTAATAGCATGCCGTGTACGCTACTAGAGTAGGTTGAACAGGTCGATAGCATAACCCATAACGCGCGAATTCATATCATTCCAAAGGATCTTTAACTTTTCTTCTATTCGGCTCCTAGTCAGAACGTTTGATTCGCGGAAATCATTGGTCCACGTTGGATGACTATGCCATTCGTGCTTTGACTCACGAGAAATCTGTCTCCTTCATTAACAAGGTACCCAGACCATGCCATTCGCTGTACAAAGGTTGTTGTTCCAGACTCGCAGAGCATCCTACTACACTGCCGGGTGGGTAGCATGTGGGGGAATCATTCAGGACCCCGGTTCCTGAGGCATGTGACCTGGACGCCTTCTGGTGCGGTTGCCCTCAATGCGCCGCATCCTTGACGAAGACGCCCCTGCTGTTCGTGATTCCTCCGGTTGGGCTGCCGGGTCGAACCTCATGTTCAAGGAAGCAACACTCGGGCACGCGGGTCGTATAGAGAAGTCCCTCGCCGCATTGGGCTTGAACTGCAATATTGCACTGAAGTCGGTTAAACGCTGTAATGTCTATGACAAGAGAGACTCGTAAGCTGCGGTCAATGCCACGCCACCGAAGCAAAGAGACTAATCATGACTTTTCAGACGTACAGCCCCGAATTGAAAAAGCGCAAAGGTGATCTTCTCGATGAGATGTATCCGTCGATTCTCTTTGATCTCATCACCGCGCCTGAGAAGTCTGCTTCATCATTCAACCGACGGGCTGCGTCCCGCCACCGCCTTACAATGCCCCGGCTGTATACGGAAAAGTAGACGCGTTTGCTAACCGGCCCCGCCTCCTCCGGCTCGCAATCCAGCAGCTCCATAAAGGGATACTAAGACGCCTGCTATGCCGGCTCGGGCTCGTCCGCCTCTTAATCAGCCAGCTGCCAGAATGGCTGGTCCGGCTTCTGGCTGGCAAGCTGCTCCTCATAGAGCCAGCAGGCCTGCTCAGCATGCTCAGCCTCCTCCTCAGTTTGCCGCGCCTTGTGCCCCCGCGTGGGTCCCTCGACCTCCTGGCCAGCAAGCTTCTCCGTACGGTGCCGGTCCGCCTGCTCCACCTCGCGTCAGTTCCCACAACACTGGGACACCCGCTCAACTGCCCGAGCAACGAAATGTTCCCCAGAGTACTGGACGGGTAAATGGCCCCTTTCCACAATCTGGTCAACAGCAAATTGTTTTCGAAAACGTTCACTTCGTCAACCTCGCTGGCCCAGGGAACAAGGTTTACACGGCTGGAAAGCCGCACGAGAATAGGATCTCCCGATACGAGAGACAGAGAGGACCAATATAGATCCTTGGTACATGAGCAGAAGCTAGGCACAGAGTGATGATCGCTCTGAAAGGCCGGGTATGAGGGATGTACCATTGACTTGTAGTCTGCTGGTAACCTTATACGATTGTGGTGTGGTTGTTACGTGTTTCCCCCTCTTACTTGCTATTCTGTGTCTTCTCTTTCAGAGTGTTGATGATTCTTATACCTTTTCACGTTTTCGAATGCATGGATAGAAAGTCATTTCACGTATGCCGCTCTAAGGCCATCGAAATAAATATCCAAATCAATGATTCCAAAGTATACCTTGTCTCTGGGCACTGGCGAACCACTCGAAGGCCGTTCCAATACCTTCAAACCCCAGCGGTCTTTGTAGCTTTATAAGTCGACTACCACTACAGCAGATGAATGCAGGCATTTGCCGCCTGGGTTCTCGCGCCGTGCTATCCGAGTTTGTATCCTTTCCGAGGCATTTCCTCGACGTGCATTTTTTTTTAGGGGGGGGGTTCCCATATGTAATGAATGGTCGCGCATAGGTGCAGTATCGTCTGCCTCTGAATCCGGGCGTAGGCGCCTGCAAATACATCAATATTGTGCTTGGCAGCATATCACGCCACCTTCAAGGCGGCAGCAAATTGACAGGGTACTTGTGAGATAAGTCTCTTTCATCACACTGGCCGATGCCTGTCTCGCATAGTTACCCATTTGCCGTCAATTTAGTCACAGCTACAATGAATTCCAAGGTCGTGATGAAGTAAGCTACGAGCCATGAAAGATAATACAGAGGCTTGCCGCTCCGAAAAGACAGGAATCGGCTACGGAAGGTGACCAGCCTAATTAGTTACCATAGGCTCAGATATCAGACACGTTCTGAGCCAAGTTATTCCCGAGGTATATATGCAGCCGTGTCTCTATCAACATCAATAATACCTACGTGCTCGATCGTCTTCATTTATCCCCTTATTCCACCTTTATCGGACGCTCTTGGACATCAGGGCATCATTGACTGGCCTTTGTAAACTCCACCCGTCGAGCCCACAGCTAATACAGTCTAACACTTACATTCAGCCATTTATTTATCGCGGTTCATTCATTTTAGTTGCCTGCCAGGCGCTGCAGTCGTCCTAACCGTCCAACATTGGTCTGTCGCTATTGTCTCCAAACGCGTCTTGCGCTCTAGCCCAGCCATAGGCTGACGCACAACACTCCTCATGCCCTTTGCCCGAGCCACTACAAGTGAACGCGTCAGCCTGGTGTCTTTGATTAACAGTCGGCTATTCAAGATAGATCCATTAGGTTTAGCCAGACGCAAACCAGATATTGCTACGCTTGACACCGACAAGCGACCAGGTATTCCACTGTACATGTTTCAAACGAATTAGACCTCATTAAAATAAAAGTCAGAGAGCGACAAATTTATTGAAAGCAGGAACCCAACTTCTGTCTAGCGCGTAGAACAAAAATACAAACTCCGCGCTATTTCCCTCTATGGCTGAAAGTTGCTACGCAATAACGCCTCTCAGGTAGGTGATGTGAAGTGACACGGCTATCCTTACTCCGCAAAATGATATCCAACCCCACTAGTTGCCTCTATCAAAGGTTGAGCAAATGTATTGTTCACTGAGTTTGACAATCAAATTGTCCTTCCAAGGGAGAATCTTCGTGTCTTTCGCGGGCATTGGGTGTGGAATCCGCTTCTTGACATTGACATCTCTGTCGCGAATCCCCTCTTCGCACTTTCCATTGAAGACTTTGCTTCTCAACAATCCGAGGGCGTCGGACATGCACGTCAACTTCTCGTCGGTGACAGAATGGGAGCAGAGGCAAGACCTGAAGCCAGCAACGTTCCCATCGGGGCAGCAGTAGAAGATGCGATCGAGGTTACAGGGCGCTCCGGCTTCCCTTGCCGCCCTTGCTGCTAGCCAAAGTATTCCACGGGGTTTGATACAAAACTTCCCGTCATTCTTCCCATCTAGTCCGTCGAATAGGACTTCGTCGTCGGTTCGGTATTCAGGGAGCCTCTCGCATATATTCGCATCATTGTCTCCAATGCAGTCGATGAGTTTGTCAATCGTGAATGTTTTGAGAACGCACTGACTCATTGTGAGCCATGTCCATGCTTCTCCTGAGGATGGCTTGCAGTCCTCAGGTATTTTGATGCCCGAGCATGAGTTCTCCTTCCTGGCTTCAAGGTGATGACCAAGAGCATGTTGACCAATGCCGAGCAGGAGGATGGCGTAGGTTAACTGCATCGCAAAAGACGAAAGAAAGACGATTGGCAAGGAGCGAAGGATTTTGGTATGTTCCAGAGAACGACAGTCAATGATAGTATGTTGACGCTTTTAGATGGATGACAAGATAGCTGAGGCCGATGCTGTATGGATTGTAATGAGGGATGTCTTGTTTTATCAACTCTGGAAGTATGAACTTGGCGAACACATCTCGTGGGACCAAGGTTAGGCTTTTCGGATTTACGAGGAGCTTTTTGCACCTGCAGGCGCCCTAGTATCTAGTGAGGCGAAGCCAGATCTGAGTTGATGGAACATCAAGCTAATGCCTTACGGCGAACTGCAGAGTGTATGATGGGGTTCGATTCTGAAATTAAAGAGGGAAGGCAGTGCCCCGGGGCTGTTCCAACATTGTGTGACCCCAACCTACACATCAGGCTCTTTTCTGCTTATTTAGATCCAAATACCTCGGCGCTTCGCAAAAGCCCCTCCACCATCCCTCCTTCAAGATTTAGTCAGACAAATCCAAAGACAATTCTATCAGAGTACACAGGCTCTCCGATTCCATCGAGATATCGAGGTTCGCTGTACATCAGCCCCTTAGCCACCTCGGTATGTTATTTATTGCTATCGTACGGGACTCACACTGGATGCAAGCCAGTCCGGAACGAGTCAAATTCCCATTGAGGTGTGACACACCATTCGTTCCACGTCCAATGATGGCCTGGAGACATCTCTCCAGTCAATCAAAACACCGTTAATCACTCGGCACAGTTCCAATTCTTACTACACCATCTGCAGGAGTCTCGCCTGAAGGCGGCCTGTTTGCTGACAGCCTGATCTTCAAATACACCATAAGTACGCAGCCTGCCTCTTGGTACCACACACCCTTGAAAACGATGGGTTCTTGGGGGTTCAGACGAAGACTGGATCAGGCTTCACGGGGTCATGGGAATTATCAACGTGGATCATATATACCTCGACTACGGCTCCTCCCGCCCTGGTCTACATTCATCGTTTTCTTAACGCCAAGTCCATTCATTCGCAACCTCGTGATATTATCTCATATCAGGGCTCTCAACATGTCTTCAAGTGACAAGGAACTGAACTTCTTGAGCGTCATTGCCTATCCCAAGGCCCCCATCAAGCCCAATGTCGAGTATGCTTTGCCAGCTCCGCGTTATGAACCATCAGCTAACGCAATGTTTCCACAATATAGTATCGTCGCTGTCCACGGACTAAATCTTTCGGGTGCGGAGGATCACAGCTCCGAGGCATGGACCAGTGGTGGCAAGATGTGGTTGAAGGACTTCCTCCCTTCAAAAATGCCCCAAGCCCGCATCATGATGTATGGCTACGATGCTATCCCTGCCTTCCGCAAGTCGCGTGAGGGTATACAAGAATGGGTTGTTAGTTTGCTGGAGTTCTTAATTATGGAACGCGATGTATTGCATCAACCATTCCTTATATTAGTCAGTGAGTCATGACTTTGCTGATGATATTTAGGCCCAACCTGATCGACCGCTCATATTCGTGTGCCACAGTCTTGGGGGAATAGTGGTGAAGAGAGTAAGTCAATGTCACAAGCGCAAGCCAAGCCAACGGAATGAATAGTGGAAGGCTGACGGTTGATTGCTTGAGGCTATGACGGAAGCGAGACAGAACGAAAGATACAAGGCAATCTACGACGCAACATACGGCATGGCATTCTTTGGGACACCTCACAATGGCAGTAAACTCGCTTCACTCGCTTCAGTTGTTGCCAATGTTTTCAGTGTAGTTCTTCGCAACCCTCAACCAAGCTTCATGGAAGCGCTGAAAAGGAATTCTCTTTTTGCCGACGTCATAAGAGATGACTTTAGACATGGCCTGGAAAAGTTCCATGTGTTGAGCTATTATGAGACTATTCCGCCCGAGAACATGACTGGGCTAGTATGTATGCCTCTTCTAGAAAATGTCAAATTGGCTAATCCCGTAATTTCCAGGTCGTCGACAAAAAGTCGGCCGTGTTGGGTCTTCCAAGCAGTCAGGAAACGCCCATCTCTCTTGCGGGCAAGGATCATTCGGCGCTATGCAAGTTTGACAACGAAGAGGCTAGTGATTGCAAGAAGGTCATGTTTGGTATATCAAAGCTATGTGCTGCTGCTGTTGCTGCGAGGTTGAGATTGGCTGAGGAAGCGAAAGCGCTCGCTGACCTCCAAGAGTTGCGCGCTCCATCGGCAGAACCAACGACCAAGGAGGGAAATCGCGACTGTACGTAGACTCTGAGGCTCAAGGTAGACGCGGAAGCGGCCTGCTGATAGTAGATAGTGCAGAATCGAATGGACATGGAGCAGGGGCGACTGACAGAAAAAGGGGAGCAGCTCCGGCGCGGTTAGTTACATTGAATGCTTTATCATCGTGACTGGACGTCTGATTTGCCGCAGATTGTTTGGATATCTTGGTATCAGGCTTTCCAGAACTAAGAAGACGTTATGACGAAGTGTTTTCAAATGATCAACATAGCCTCCCAGATTGTTGGCTATTCCGGACCTCCCAGTTCATGGATTGGGAAGTCCTAGGCAAGGACCACTCGTTCCTATCAGTTGAAGGAAACCTTGGCTCAGGAAAATCGGTCCTCATGAAAAAGGCTGTTCAGTATTGTGAGCAACGCAAAGAGCAACCCGATAGTCGGCTGACTCTGAATTTCTTTTTCGACGCGAAGTCTCGTGACAGACAACCATTTTGCAGCTCAGGTGTAGGCATGTATCGGACACTTTTGTATCATGCAATCGCTCGGTCCGAATGCCTTCCTACACATCTTCTCAAGGACTTCCTTAGGGCATGGAAGATGCCAGGCCACTCGTGGACTCAATTTGATTTGCAGAACGACTTGAAAAGTGTGTTTCTGGAAGTCACTTCGACGCAACAGGACAATGCTACCGTGCGGAATATCTTTATCTTCCTCGATGCTCTCGACGAATGGGATGAGAATGACCGCAAAAATTCGTCGGAGTTCGAATTCTTTGAAAATCTCGTTCAGAAAGATGTACCCCTCAAAATCTGCTCGTCGACCCGCCCTCGCTCCTCTCCGACCTCGAGAGGATCTGTGATCGAGATGGAGAGTCACAACAGCGAAGACATCGGTCGTTACCTTCAAAAGACTATTGGGGGACGTCACATGAAAGATACACGTCGCCGGGTTCTCATTGAGAACCTCAGTATGAAGGCTAATCACAACTTCATGTGGCTTGTTTTGGTCGTCTGGGATCTAGACAACTGGCCTACAGTAGACTTTGCCACCACCGAAAATATTCTGAAAAGAATCCAGAAAATCCCGAAGGAGCTGAAGGCATTGTACGATGAGATCCTCGAAAGGCTTGCCAGAAAATCCGACGACGCCATGCGGGAAGAGAGCTATTTTCTCCTCCAACTCATAGCTTTCGCCAAGGAGGCTCTGTCACTTCAAGAAGTGATGGAAGCTATCTCAATCCTCATTTACCCAGATACGTGGCAGTCACAGCTGGAACATTTCGAAACATTGGACTTTGCCGCATGTATCCGAACGTGGTCGAGAGGCCTCGTTGAGGTCATCCGACCCGGTTCTCAGGAAACACCTGGGCCGAGTATCGTGCAGTTTGCGCATACGTCGATCCATCGACTTTTGGTAGACCATTGCGGGCTGAAATATTTCGACCCGGCTGCCCAAGACCCGACAACCAACAAAATAATGTGTCATTATCGTCTGTTCGAGCTTTGCGTCAAATACCTGGAACGCGACACATTAGCCCAACCAGGACTGAAGCTACACCAATACGTTATGTCTTTTTGGATGGAACATGCCCGCAACAGTGGCGAGCGTATGGATGCGAAGCAATTCGTTTTTCCAGGCTTTCTCAAAAAGTGCAACGCGATCACCAAGAACATCGTTCTATCATCTCGAGAAAACATGATCCGGCGCAGTAACATGGGCAAATTCCGTGGCTGTGGATCGATAACCTACGAGGAGCGACTCATATGTCTGCTGGCCGCTGAGGGGTGCACTCAGCTTCTAGTCGTGCATCGAGGGTGTACTCTCTGTTATGGTACAACAACGGCTCTTGGGGAGCAAGAAAGCATGCTTGGTTCAGGATGTGCGTTGCTTCAAGCTGCTGAGCACAACAGGGTACAGACCGTCCAATATCTTGTCCGACAATTGAACTGCGACGTCAACTTCAGAGGTGGCGAGATCAACACAACGCCATTGTGTCAAGCTGTTCGATCGGGTTCGGTGGACATGGTCAAAGCCTTGCTGGATCTGGGCGCCAAAGTGGATGTGTGTGCCGCGAGGACCTTCAAGTCACCTTTGAATACAGCAGTCGGCTACAATGATGTGACGATTGCGAAGATACTTCTCAACCACCCAGGAGTTGATCGCCGTCGTTTGCTTTGCCAACCCGACATGTATGGCCAGTACGCTTTACATATCGCTGCGTATCATGGGTTGGCTTCTATGGTAGAAACTCTTTGCGAGCCTTGTGAAAGAGACGAAATTGGCTACATCTTGGACTTGAGCGACAGAAACGGTGAGACAGCCTACATGGTGGCCGTGAGAAAAGGTCATGACACAGTCGCCGCGGAGATATTGAAACGGCTGCTTGACAGTTAGTAAGCCTCAGCATGATTGTGGAGGAAGCCTAGTTGAATACGGTGTTTTATCGAGATGAATAAAAGTGTAGACGATTGTTCATGCGTTCTGTGAGATCAAGGTACGATGTCCTCACTTCAAAGCATAGTCTGGACTCGCCTAGCGCGCTTCTCGGCATATGGCGAAGCCGGGGAAAGAAGACTAAGCCAAGTACGAGGGGAGCGCACGGCAAACATTTCAAATCGCAGCTGCAGGTTATTCTTCGCACGTGCAGACGCCCAGAAGCTAAAGCTAGATGGCTGGGCAGCGAGAGTAGAGAGAACGACGAAAATGAGCCCTCTCTCTCAGACTACAGTGGTCAAGAGTACCGTGTCGGTGCGTAGAGTACTAGAGATGACTGCCCGACGGGAGTCAAGCCATCCGAACTGTATCGTTCACGAGCTTTCCTCATTCAACCTAGGATATCCAAACATGGTCTAGAACGGGTTGGCCTCAGCTCAACTCAGCTCTTGTTACAAGGAACGCTACCTGAGGTTATTTGATATCTGTCTCAGTAGCTTGTCGTGGTTAAGAAAAAGTGGACATCTCAGGAACGCAATTGATTAATGGGATGGCTGTGGGCGTAGGGAATGCTAGATCGTGCCTGGGAGGAGAGACATGCGCAGATAGGACACTCCCGGGCACGATAAGATTGGGAACGGAACGAGAGACGTCAACGTTCCAGTTGAGCCCGTCACTGAGGTTTGGGTTCGTGGGATGTTGGGCCGTGATCTGCACATTGTCTTTTACGTTTTCACCGCCATGAACTGCACACAGCACATACTGTGAGAACATGCCATTTGGCGGGCCAAAATGCCAGATATCCTGAAAACCTTTACTTTTCCCCAGGTTTTCCGGTAACACAGTAGCATTCGGTTCACGGATTTGGTAGCGATCAGAGATTGAAATCAAGCCGAGGGTCAGCGGGATTCGCAACGGGCAAACGGTGACGGCGGCGGCGACGGGATTCGTGTGCGTTGTGGAGTTGAATGACCACGGGGTGGGGCCTGCTGGCTGGAGACATTTGAAGAGCTTGTCCTGCTGGAAGATTCATGACTGGAGTGGCGGCGTAGTGGAGAATGGGAAGACGGTCTCCGGCTCGGGTGCTCGGCGCCTGGGAGAGGCTTGGAAGGTCTCCAGTGACGGAACGCCGAGAAGCCTGTGGCTCTCCTTGACGAATGTATTTCATAGCGTTTGGTTGGTGGGCAGAAACTTGGATAAGAAACTTGAACTCTTCACATTTTCCAGAGACAGGAAGATCGGAGGCCGCGTAACGCGGGATGGTCCCCAACTGTGGCTGAGAACGAATCACTGCGCAGCTTCCAAATATCCACTCGATGTGTGGCGCGGGGTGGTTTACGCTTTGGCCAATCACGGGCAAGGCGCCTGCTCCACCCAGTTTGTTCAGGTCGTCAGGGTCCCTTCCGGTGGGAGAATGCAGAATGTAGAATACCTAGGTACCCCACCTCCGCCCGCCGCATCGCCGCAGTTGTCTTCCGGTTCTCAACAGTGATGGGATCTGTCCCAATGGAGTATAGCCTATAGTAGGCGCAGAAGGGGCAGGGATGCTTACGAATGATTTCAGCGAGAGAGAGAGGGAAAACTGCCTGGCTGTGGGACACTGCTGGTCCCCTTTCCAGCTGAGAGAAGAAGGCGCAAGAAAGGGTGCCCATTGGAGTGGATACCAGCAACGGTGGCCCATGGAGAAAAGGCAAGAAAAGGGTTCTTGTTGTTCTTCCATGGGGCATGGCACCCGCGGGCCAACAGACTTTCCGGATAGAATGAATAAGGCCTCAAATAGGACGTGCCCGATCTCTACGGAGTACGGAGTAATAGTGTACATACACTTACATACTAATTAGGGGACTCTTCATCGCCTAGTACCGATACAGCTTTGTGGGCAAGGGAGCGGTAAATGAGAGTTCTAAGCATAGTTGGATTTAGAGTGCGGTCCCCCTCTAGGCTCTGCGACGCTGCGCGTTGGGCTGAGCCGGGGTAGGCCTGCGCCGCTTGCCAAGCTCGGCGCCAAGAGCTAGTACAAACGTGGACGGTTGAGGCTTGGGAAGTCGACGACTTGTCAGTCTTGAAGTTAGTATTGCTAGCTAACCTCATGGTCTGCCGTGTGCCGTGTGCCGGTCAGCAACAAGTCACGGGGAGCTGTGTCTTGTTAGCTGGCCTCACGATGTTGCTTTGCAGTAGTCGTGAGATGATTACGTTAGTGAGTAAAAGAGTCAGTCGTCTCCCTGGAGGCCAGTGAGGGAGCCGGCAATGAGACACCGAGACATCGGGTGAGCGCCCAACCGTGGGGTTTGATTGGCATCGCTGGATCGTCGGAACGCTAATTGATGTGGGAAACGAGGTGACATTGGGGACAGTGACGATTAACCCGGATACTCTCGGTTGCGTTGTATGAAGTATGGAGACGTTGAGCCTTGAGGGGAGATGTTTGGGTTCCCTCAAGAACAACCTTCACCCCTTCCTGGTGCTCTTGCTTTGACTCTTGATGACAGCTGCGTTTGGACAGGTTTTTGGTGTTGCACGAGTAGTATGTCCCTAACACCAATCGTGGCAGTTGACTGGGGCCAGTAGCAAGAAAGCTTTTTTCTATCCTGCATGCTAGAGGCTGGGGCATGTCATGAGTCGACACCCATGAGGACTGTCAGAGCTTGGTGCTTGAGAATAACACACGGGCGATAGCTCGACAAGAATCATCAACGACAACACCAACAGAAAAAAAGAGTCACAGACAATTGCCGGACAGGTGCCATATTGCGATGTGATGGGGATCGCGGTTTTGGGACAGCGACTACGAGGTGCTAAATGGCGTTAAACCCTGGAAGTCTTTTCCCGGTTGGGAAAGGCGCGGCTGGGTACCTCTTCAAGCCCGTGGGACGGATATGACCGACCGGCCGGGTACACCTGGCGGGGGGGCGCCCCTTTGAGATGCTACGCCGGTGATCAATTCGGTCACTGGTGTCAATCACTGTCAACTAATCCCTTCCTCTGCACTCAGACATGCAACATGGTAGTAGAGTGATTGACAAAACTGACCTCACCGGTCGCGGCCTTCCAACTTTCTCTCCAAGTCACTCCCGTCCAAATGAGGGAGGGCAATAGCACTAGACGATATAAACAACGGGGATGCCGCCTTACCGCGAGATTGACACAGTCCACGGTTCGCATCGTAACTTTGGAAAGAACAACCTTGACCACCACTTGCACCGCACCTTCCTTGAACTTCTATCTGTACTTGAATGCCATCACTCCTCCCCACTTTCGGCATAACGAACCGCACGTCAACAGTCAACGCGAACCACAACATTTTGACTCGAGATCCCCGCCTCCAACCTTGAAAAATATACTTTTCTGAGATCGTCGTATCTTCTTCTCTGACAAGACACACCTCCTCGACTCGACATTCCGCAACATCCAAGCTTCTCACCTATTCTCGAACCTTGCAACCTGCGAATACCTTCCCACATCCATTCTACCTATCCCCGCAAAGCCGTTTCAGCTTCGACTCTCGACGACAACAGCTTGGGCCAAGAAAATACTCTTTGTCAACAATTCGTACTCAGCGTCTTCATTTTCTTCTTCACCATCATCTTCGGCACAAAACCCAACTTGTGTCCCCTACCGCGCGCTTGTTCAGTGGAGACCACTTTGGACCCCTCGACGTCTTCGTCATTCTGATTCTGCCACTCGATGCAAAAGCAATATCATTGGGACATCCAGTCAACCCGCCCAGAACATACCACAGACAGCTGAGCGCTTGGTTAACACGGATTCAACTCTCCGTCCCGCTGCGCTGCGCTGTCTTGCCCAGACTCCCCGCCTATCCTACCGCCTACCCAAGACAGGATTATTCCTCAAGAGGGTTCCACCGCTGACGCTCTGGCTCTCAACCGAGCGGAATACCGGCACACATCGCACCAATGGCCTTCGTCGCCCAAGGTAAGCCATGCCATTTTCCCTTGTTTGCCATGTCTCTCAGTTTCTTGTCCGTCCCCCAAGCACACCAATCTCCATCCCTCGCCTCTTCTTTTCTTTCCATTTTCTCAACCCACTCAGTCCCCTCTTCCGTTTGCTCGGAACCCTTGTCGTCCACTCGTCATTCCACGATGCTCAAGAGAGGAAACTGTCCTCCGCCGCCGGGATTCCCGTGCTCTCTCTCGCAGAACGGATGCTCCTCCACCTTTAGGCCACTCTACATTTCTCTTCACTTGCACCACTTGTTAGTGTTTTTTTGTTGGGACTATTTTTTCTCGGCAACTTTCCATGAAAGCCTGAGAATGGTGTGGCACCATCAGAGTTCGGAACATGACACTGCCAAACACCAATCGTCATGACTTCCATGTGCGCATGGTGTGCCCGAGTCCCTCATGCAGGTCATCCCAGGCTGCCGCTGGCTGGCTATAAGCTGCTGGCTACTGCAAGTTGCTGCTCAAGTGTTCTGCAGACCAAGCAAAACAACCAGCCAAAAGTATCCGTCCAAACTTCACCGCTGGTATGTGTGTCTCTGAGCGAGTTTAGTGCTCCGGCTTCTGCGTTTCTTTCTATGTCTAAGGCTGCATGTCCTCGAACATTTGTTAGCTCTTCCCCGCCTCTCGTGCCGTACTACCCTGCCACCCCTAGTCACTGGCTGGCATTGCTGTGCTTTGCTGCGGCCCAGTCATCTCATCGCTGCTGCTGCGCTCGACTGTGCCTTTGCAAGCGGAAGGCCGAGCCCGAGCGAACGAACAGCGCAGCACCCAGCGATGGAGCGAGAGCGAACAAGAAATACCAGGGCACGCAAGTCAGACCTCGTAGGGATCCCCTCCAAGTCTCCTACACCGGGGCCATTCGTTACCCGCCGTGCACAGGAAATCCAAGAGGCGGAAAGACGGTTACGTGTTTCCAGATGCGGCAAAACAAGAAGAGCCAAAAAAGCATAGGCCAGTGGCCACTCTTCTTCTGACTGCAACCTGCTCTAAATACCGTGACTATCCCACCCCTCCCCATCTGAAGCCCCATTCCCGCGGTTAGTTCCAGCTACTGTGTTCCATTCACACTATTGAGCGAAAAGAGAACGCCCAGAGGCGGATTACCGGTGCGGAGTCTCGCATTCTCATTTGCTCATAACTGCTACTGCTGCTGCTGCTCTCGTCTCGTTCCTGACCTTGCCGTTCCGGTCTCATTAACTGGTCTCGTCTTATTCGGGAGGGGATTCGTAATTGCCCAAGACGCTAAAGGATCAAACGGCAACACTCATCACCGAACTGCCTCAGCAAAGAAATCCCGACGGCGTCTCGCCCTGTTCTATTTTCCTCTCACCTTTCTATCTCCCGAAACTTCTTTGTTCCTTCCTCTCAATTATCCAGAATTCCAGTTATTCTGCAACAGTTTTCTGTTACCTACCCACAACAAAGGGAGCAGCCTCTCTCACCCACCTGCGGTCTACTATTTGCCCCTCGGGACTCTACCCATCTTATTTACCACCACCCTTCCAACGCTTTTATTCCACTGAATACTGGCCCCAAAAAACTACCCGCTGTGACCGCTACCTGACCTTCCGCCACTTTATTACCGTCGATCTTCCACCATCGGTTCCCCCACAATAAACTAAGATCGTATCTTCGTGCAGAGCCTCACACAATGACCAACACACCACGAAGTCCGTCGACCAAGAGCCAGGCTAGTCTTCGAGACACTGGCTTCCCTGAGCCTTTCAACGGAGGTAAGTTTCTTGGAATGAGGCGCAAAATCTATGGTCCATTTACTAAGCAATATAGAACGCAACACTACGCTCCCGCATCCCGACGCCAACCTTTCGCCCAACGCAGTCATCTCGCAGGAGGATCTCGCTGGAAATCGAGCCCGTACACGACGTTCTTTCCTGCAAAAGCATAGACGCACCATCAGCCATGGACGCATCACTCCTCAAATGGAGGCACTCTACAGCAGCGAAGCCCTAGCCGAAGCCGAAGCCGCCATCCTCGAAGCAGACGTCCCGTCCAACACCAGCCAGTCTAGTTTGCCGGCCGCGGGACGCATGAGCAGAGACGATGCCGAGAGTATGCTTTCCCACAGCGGTGGCGACCTTTCGCCCGTCACGTCGGCTCAGAGCAACGGACGCAAAGGCAGCCTGTTTAGAAAGCTTGGCTGGAAGAAGCCGTAGAGTCACAACATCTGCGATACGAAAGTGAGGAATCACGAAACCAGGCGGCGAACTATCGACCCGATGTACCGCGCACACGATTAAAACGGCCGAAAAGAATTTGTAAAACAGACACACCACAGCGCAAGCGCGGAGTTTTCTTTTGACCTGCAACATGGGGTTGGGCACAACCAAAGGCGGGCTTGGAATTTTGATTTTGGGAATGGGATTGGACACGGAGTATAGGGATCGTACAACACTAGGCCATCGTCATAGAGGATATTGGTCCTCTGAATTTTCACCTTCACAGATGATCCTGACGGGTGGAAATGTGCATCACGAGGGACAATAACCTACGACGGTGAACAGACTATCGTTAAAACATAGTAATTCTATCGTTTAGTTGCAAGTTTCTTGCACTATTCACTTGGTCCTTTCTTCTGCCCTTTCAACGTGATTAACGATCCCTCTTAGTGGCTTTGGTTCTGTGTTGGACGCGAGCTGCTCTGGTTCTTGAGGTATTCCCAAAGTAAGAGGTCCATGGTCCAGACCCACGATACGTGAGATTTACCACCAGACACCGGCCATCGCACAGCTCGATTCTCTATCCACATGGAAACCATCCCGCTCGCAGCCACAAAACCAGCTCACCTCATTCCCCCGCGGAATCCGACATCATCCCCCTGTCATAACTTGACATCCGAGCTTAGCTGCCCCGGTAGGTGGTATAGCTATACGGGCTCAACAGCAACGGAACGTGATAATGCTGGCCCCTCTTCACCGTGAAAACCACCACGGCCTCGGGGAAGAAGGTCTCGTCCTCGCCGCCAAAGTAGGACGCCGTGTCGAACTTGAGAGTCCAGCGAGAGGACGTCACCGCGGAGGCGGAGGCGGCCTCGATCTCGCCGAGGACGTCGTCGAGGGTGTAGACGGGGACCTCGCCCGACGAGGTGGCGGAGGAGAAGGGCAGCCAGGATTTGACGCGGCCGTCTTCGTCTGTGGTGGATTCGAATTCTTTGAGGACGCCTCCGGGCGTGGTGGTGTTGGGAGAGGCGGAGCCGGAGGTGACGGCGGAGGAGGAGGAGGGGTGAGGGGAGGGGATGGTGGTGGAGAGCTGGACGCGGACGTTGCGGGCTGGTTTTCCGGCTGATGTGTCTAGGACGTGGCAGGTTATGCGGTCTTTTGTTTGGGTGGCCATTTTGGCGGTTGAGATTGAGGTTGAGGTTGTGGTGTTTGTGGTTGTGGTTTGGGGATTGAGGTTTAATTTGCTTCGTAGGGGCATGGGAGTTTGAGATGTTTGTGGTGGAGCTTGGGGTTGGGCTGCGTTGGGTGAGTGAGTGTGAGTGAGTGTGAGGCGGTGGTGATGGGTCGAGTGAGGTGGGATGAGGTGAGGTGAGAGGCGAGGTGAGGCTCACGCTGGACGGCGGGGTAAATTCGCCCTGCCTGCGTGTAAGGCGGAATTGCTTGGCTCCCTGCCTGGCTGAAGTGGGGCACTTTATAGGACCTGAGTCCTAGGTGAAGAAGTACCGGGCTTACAGTCCTACAATTTAAATGGAAAGATAGTAGAGGTAAAAATCAAAGAAGAGGTTCGAGCTACCTATATCCAGAGAAGTCAGGATGATCTTTTGTCTTGTCGCGTGGGAGAGAAAAGGCTCTATAGCTCTTTTTTTTTTTCCTTCATTCGGGGGACCGAAGTCGGTGCCGGACGGCGCCGTGATGCGATGACGGGAGAATGGTGGGGCCCACAAATATATAATGTACGGACACGGAGATGGCCCCGGAACTGAATGGCCTTTAAAAGGTGCGTTGATATGCCTAGATCTCCATTCAACTGGACGGTGTTAAAATCGACTTTGGAGTCACGTTCCATCAATTCTTTTGCCACATTGCGCAGGATCAGAGATGGTGGATGTGGAACCCAAGCTATATGGGCCTTTTCCTGATAAGAGATACTTGAAGGTCAGAACCCAAAGGAAGGCGCGCTTCGATTAAGCCTACCTTTAATCACCGGTCAAGGTGTGAATGAATTGATGGACTTCTAAGAAATGTAAAACTAGAAGGATAAATCTAAGCATTGTTTGGCAAGCCTCTCTACGCTATCTTTATTTACCAACATTGCGAGCATTCTGGGGAATCTCACAGGCGAAACGAGGGGACTGTTTCTGAGAAAGTCACCTCTAGTTCAGTGTTTGATAACCGCCCTCTTCAGTAGACGAGATCATTATGCGATAAATCCAACAACCAACCCAGATGTATCCTACATATCCCCTCTACCTGATCCAGTAGATTAAAGACTTCCGTACTATACGGCAACGCATCCGTGAGATGGTGGGAGGATGGGAGGGGCACAGACAAAAAGCTCCGGCACATGCCGGGGGAACAGAACGGGAGGCCCCGGCGGGTGGACCTGAATGTTGCTGGCGCCTCAGCACGCTTAGGTGGGAGTTTGAAGAGGTCTGGGCTTCTGTCACAGCACCACCACAGAAAGCCACACCAGAAAGGCAGCATACGTCATTTGGCCTGTGCGCTTTCCACGACACACAGAGAGAGCCTATCGTGCTTATCGCAGTAACCTTGTTTGCCCCCCCAAACCAATCAGAGACTCTGTAATTGACGGCAGACCGTGATGACGAGCGGGATATCCTCTCTGATTTAGATACCAAGACGCCAACCACGAGCCAAGAAGAGGCCAAGAAACCAAGAAGACTCAGCCAGTGGAAAAGAGCCAGTTCACCTGGTGTTATTGTAGTTTGCAAGTGCAAGACTAATTCGGTAATCAGTGAAGTCAATGGCTCGTCCAAATCGTACTATGGAATCTTTTTTGTGTTTTGAGTTTTGTACCAATGCGACGGTCCGGATACCAAGCCTCTAAGACGGCCTAGAACATTTCTTACGACGTTTGTTGATGTACGATTTCGCCTTGAGGCTTCTAGTGTATTGAACCCCAGCAATGATGTATCCTTTCGCACAGCAGGGAGCCGTGATGTTCTTCAACTCTTTCACGTTAGGTCTCAGCTTGTGTGAGAGAGAGCATTGTAGCCTCGATTCAATGAAGACATATGAGTCTGAAGGTCTCTTTTGATACTTCTTCCATGTACCAGGTCCAGAAATCTATGCTACGTGTATCCGTGCCAAAAACACCAAGAAGCTTGGCTCGTCCCGGCTGACGTACGACAACGCGATCCACCACCACCGCACCAAGTAAGCGCGCAACACTCCCACATTGGCACATGAAAAAGGGGAAATCACCGCCAAGCAGAGCCAAGTGTAAAATGAGCGCAACACGCATCTTAGTCCCGTTTCCATAGTCCAAAACCCCAATAAAGCCCTGTTGTCATTGCATCCATTCAAAGATATAGACACCATGGACGCCCGTCGTTTACTTTCTGTCCCTCGACCGTGTCTTTCTCTTCAGATATCCATTGGTGTCCATCGCTCTCTCGGTGACAGCGACTCGATAAAAGGAAGACAGACAGACAGAAGAAACGACAGTCCGTGAGGGTACTCGATCAGCAAAACAACGAGGGCCTTCATGGCTACCCCCACAAACCACCCCGTCACGAACCCCAAAGAGGGCGTCACATACCTCACCGAAGACGAGATAACCTCCTTCCTCGACGACCTAGACCACAACGGCGACGGCTACATCGACTACGACGAAGTCGAAGCCAAACTCGACGCCGCCCACGACGAGCTCGCGCCCGGCGGTCAGGTAAAACCTCACCACGTCATCAGCCGTCACACCTCTCCAGAGAAACCAAATCAGTCGTCTTCCTCGTCAGACGAGAACCGCCTCCGCCATGAATTCCTCCGCTCCATAA